GGAGTGAATATAATACGGTTACAAGGCATTCTACAGTGTAGACAGGAGGACGTTATGGAAACTTCTTCGACACTACGGAGTTCCTGAGAAGATTGTCAATATTATCCGGAACTCATACGACGGACTACAGTGCAAAGTAGTGCATGGAGGACAGCTGACAGATGCATTCCAAGTAAGGACCGGAGTCAGACAAGGCTGTTTACTCTCTCCCTTCCTCTTTCTTCTGGTGGTCGACTGGATTATGAAGACCTCAACATCTGAAGGAAAACACGGAATACAATGGACAGCTCAGAATCAATTAGACGATTTGGACTTCGCAGATGACCTAGCCCTCCTATCACGTACACACGAACAGATGCAGATGAAGACAGCCAGTGTAGCATCAGTCTCTGCATCAGTAGGCCTCAGCATACACAAAGGGAAAACTAAGGTCCTCAAATTCAAAGCGGAGAACAGCAATCCAATCACTCTTGATGGCGAAACTCTGGAAGATGTAGAGTCCTTCACATACCTGGGAAGCATAATCGATGAACAAGGAGGATCCGATGCAGACGTAAAGGCGAGGATCGGCAAAGCAAGGGTCGCATTCCTACAATTGAAGAACATATGGAACTCAAAACAACTTTCAACCAATATCAAAGTAAGAATCTTCAATACGAACGTCAAGGCAGTTCTACAGTATGGAGCTGAAACTTGGAGAACTACAACAACCACAATCAAGAAAGTACAAGTATTTATAAATAGCTGTCTACGCAAGATATTCAACATCCATTGGCCGGATACCATCAGCAATAGCCTTCTGTGGGAGAGAACAAACCAACTTCCAGCTGAAGACGAAATTAGGAAAAGACGATGGAAGTGGATAGGACATACATTACGCAAATCATCAAACTGCATCACGAGACAAGCGCTAACTTGGAATCCCGAAGGGAAGCGAAAAAGAGGAAGGCCAAAGAACACATTACGTCGGATAATAGAAGCAGATATGAAAACGATGAATTACAACTGGATGGAGCTAGAAAGGATTGCCGAGGACAGAGTTGGATGGAGAATGCTGGTGAGAGGCCTATGCTCCTTCACGAGGAGTAACAGGCGTAAGTAAGTAAGTAAGTAACAAGACCTAGAATCAAATCAATGGGAGATACAATCAAAACAAAGAAGTAAACAATGACAGATTTAAGGTCAACAAAAACCAATCAACATCGAGGTCTACTGGACAAACTGTGAGCCATATGTGGAGAAATTCAAACACTTCACTTCTACCTGAAGTTTGTGCTGATGTTGATTTGTTCAGAAGACCGATGAAAGCTTCACGACTGAATCATCCAGTTCAAAGAACAAAACTTCATCAAACTCATCCACCTGATCTAAAAATCTTCTTCATCAAGTCATATTCTAAATTCAAATTTTACTCAGCTGAAATGTAAATTATTACTAACAAAATTTTAATCCAATCCACTTATTAACAATTTTACGTAATAAACATAGGAGATTTGCTTACATTATTAACTAGCGGAGTTTAACCATATCAGATGTGACACAGTAATCTACATCAGATGATAGGAGATGGTTATACAACATCGTGAATTGATTGGAGTTAGACATTTATATGATTGAATGTCGGCTAAATGATCTTATACTTAAACTCATAACGTAAGATCAAAGATTTTTGGTTCGATCTCTAATGAGTTCATTGATGAACATTATTAAGGAATCCATTTCTTCCTGATTTTCGATAGTCATTTAATAAATATTATGTCTCGATGTAAACCAGGAATGTTTTATATAAATTGACTCTAAACTACCTTATTTCAAGATATATCTTAGTAATTTAATCATTTAAAGTGTTAAAATCCAAGTGGATTTTCTTCTTATTTAAATAAACATTCATAACATATGTTACTATGAATTGGTGAATTTCTTAGATTCAACACTGAATTTCATTCAACTGAATAAATTACATCTGGTTATTCATTTTTAATTTGTTTGTTTGTTTGTTTCTATTCACCTTTATGATTGAGAGTTTCTGTACTGTTTACAATAATATTTATAAGCTGTATAATCATTGTAAATATGGTCATTTGTAAAAAAAGAACTGAAAAACAACATTTTTATTGACCATTATTGACAGATCTCTGCTTAAACCTTCAAAAAACAAAGACATATTTTCTATTTACCGATTGATCAAGCATTGTAACTATTATAGATAGGGATTTGTAAAGATTGTAGTAGTTTAACAGTTGAATTCACGAGTTAGTCTATGCTAGACTACCACTGGAAACCTGTAAGCATTGGATGGCTGTTCTGTTCTATTATGGAACTTCTAAACAGTGTGAATTCACGATCCCGCACATGGGACTTGAACCTAAAACACTCAGTCTTGCACACGAACTCTTAACTCCTAAACCACCGAGCCGTTTGACATCTAACGGTGTTAATGTTTAACTTTATTCGATCCATGATGTTGCACAACGCTTCATCCATTATCTAAGGCGGATAACTGTCTCCACCCGATACGGATTGGACTACTATGGTCTATATTCAAAGTGGAACTCCTGAAGTTCTAGTGTGAAGCCATGACTAATGGAGTTCAACCGTGTCAGATGTGAAGCAGTTATACACTGAAGACAATAGAAGATGGTCACGCAATATCGTGGATTGTTTGAAGTTAGATAATGACACCTTTGGGTGTCTGCTCGGTAGTCTAGAGGTTAAGAGCTCGAACGTGAGGCCGAAGGTCCTAACTTTGAGTCCCGTTTGCGGGATCATGGATGCGCGCTGTTGAGGTGTCTCCTGATAGGACAGAACGGTCGTGCAGTTTCCAGTTGTGGTTTATCTCAGACTCAACTGTGAAAGATATAACTGTTTGACTTACTTTTGAGTTACATTTTACTATTCATATAAGATGAATATTATTTGGTGTTTTTTGATGGACATTTCACTACTGAATTTACGATTAGATAAATCTAATCATGTGTATTATTATGAAAATTTGTTGTAATTTAGCTATAGAGTGTAATAATAGCATCTTTATTGCTTTCCCACTTATTTTAAAAGAGTAATGATACTTTAAATAACTTTTGAAGCCTTCATAACTAATAAATGATCACTAAACGTATATATATCTTATCAACTAGTTCCCAGGTGATTATTTTAACCATTTAATTGAGAGAAATATATTGTGCCGTTGACTTCTAACTGAAATATGATTAAAAGATCGTTTTTGTTGTGCACTTACATTGATTATAGTGGTATTGATAACTAGAATGAATTTGACAAATGGTTCTTTTTGTTTTGAGAGTTGAGAACAGTGACTGATTAAGGTGTGATGTTTTTGCGCTTACTCACAATCACTTATCTTCATAATGAATCATGGGTATTTCTAGTATGAGGCTTAGACTTAACAGTGAGATAGTTGATTATCGACGACACTAGATAATCAAATTATTATATTGCAGTTGACTGAAATTTAAAAATGTGGACTGTTTTATTTTTTATTTATACCTAATATCCCTTATGGAGCATAGGCCGTCGGTCAAGTTTCTCCAGCCAACTGTGTCCTGGGCTCTTCTTTCCATTTTTTTCCATGTGCTATTAATTCTTTTCATATCTGCCTCCAATCACCGGCACAATACGTTCTTCGGTCTGCTTCTTTTCTTTATAACTCGGGAATTCCAAGTCAGGATTTGCTTCGTGATTCAGTTCAATGATTTCCGCTAAACGTCTTATCCACCTACAGCATCTTCTCATAATTCTCGCTTCAGCTGAAAGCTGGTTTGTTCTCTGCCACGGTAGGCAGCTGCTAATGGTATCCGACCAGCGGATCGGAAGTTTCTTGTGTAGACAACTGCTTATAAATGCCAGTATTTTTTTATAATGGTTGCAGTAACTCTCTGCCCAGAGCCTTTTTAATGTTACTGCAGGTCCCAAGCCTGAATAAAAGAGTAGACTTAGGCATGGTTTTAGTAAGCCTTATCTATAGAAAAGAACCTTGCTAAATAATCCAGATCAAAACTATTGGATACAAACTCAATTTTTTGGAAATTATTCAGTTAATCATACCATATGAATTTTTACGATCTATTACCTCATGTGTTTATTGAGGGTTAGTTTTGAGAAGTCACAGTTAGTAGTAAAATATCTATTCAGATTTCTGATTATACTTTAATAGACGTGACTTACAATCGAAATTATCTTCACAATGAAATAAGCATAAAAAATCATTCACGTAAAGTGATTCGTTAATAGATTCAACCGTTATTTAACCAACATTACGCTTCCATGAATGAAAAAATTGATGAAATTGGGAGTAGAGAATTGTTAAATGGTTGAACTTAATGGAATTCAAATGAATGGATTGAAGGATATTAGAGAATCGAAAAGTTCTACAGGATTATATCACTATCCATTGATATTAGGCATATTTAGCATTTCTAAGAGATTTGAACTTTTTCCTCTCTTTGATACATTCAACTTCAATATAAGGCATAATTTAACATTTATCAATCAGAATGAGTAACAGACTATTCTCGTCAGGTCATGATTTATGCTTTGTAAAACTGAGCTCTATACGATTGCTTAATCATTGAGTAGTGAATAATGTCATGTTTATTTAGTCTTTGAGTACTGATTGAATTCAATCTATCAATTTTCTGTGTGAGCGCCAGTCTGAGTGACTAAATATTGAGTGCCCTGTTTTCAAACTTTAGATGGTTAGAAGTAGTCTACACAGAATTGTGGATTTAACATCTTAACATACTATACGCAATCTTAAAGCACTCAAATTAGTGTCTACTTTGTAACTTGATATGCAACACATAAAGGATTAAGTGAATATGTCATTGGTAATTACCTAGTGATCAATTGATTGCCAACCTTTACACATTTAATTGGTATTTATGAAAACATTTCCAATATTTTATGGAAATAAAAATTATCAAACACAAAGATCATAAGCATATTAATTCGTTTCTTTTATTGTTCTTTTCAACAATTTTCAGTGGCTGCCGAAAGTTTTGATCCAGAAAAAGACAGTGATGATAATAATGAAGAAGAGAGACAAATTTATCCGAAATCTGATAGTCAACGAGCTAGGCTAACTAATGCTGTCAAAGAAATCCTACTCTTTCGATGTCTTGATGAAGTACGTCTGAGCTGTTTTCCTTTTATTATTCATACTATAGCAAATTAATCTGGACAATAACATGGTAATACAATCAGAAGGGGATTTTGTGGATATTATAGTAATTTTAATAGTTGAGATCATGATTCAATTGAAGCTAGACGACCATGGAAAATCTGAAAGCACTGGATGGCTGTTTCGTTCTAGTATGTGACTTCTCAGTAGTGCGAATTCAAAATCCCGCCTCGCTAGATTCAAAGCAGTGACCAGTAGGGTTCAACCGTGTCTGTTGTGAGATAGTAACTTATTGAAGACAATGGTAGATGTGTTATTCAATCTCGTGGATTGGTTGAAGTTAGGTATTAACACCATGGTTAAGCGCTGGCGCGCGAGATTGATAGGTTCTGGGTTCAAATCCGACGAGACGGGATCGTAGATATACGCTTCTGAGATGTCCCATACTAAAATGAAACAGCCGTCTATTTCTTTCAGGTTTTCCATGATAGTCTAACTTTAATTAACTGATGTATTTAATTATCAAATTACTATAATATCCACAAAACTCCACTCTAAATAATTGTATCTTCTATCACTTGTTTACTTGTTAGAAATCTTGCAATTATATCTCTCTCTTCATAATTACATTACAACATTATTTAAATATTATTTATCTTTGTTTACAATCAACGTTTCACTGACCTTAATCTAAGAAAAGAAATAAAGGACAAATGAGGCTTAGAAATTGAATTAATTAACACATTTTAGCATATCATAGATATATTTTAAAGATATTAGAAGAAGAAGAAGAAGAAGAAGAAGAAGAAGAAGAAGAAGAAAACCTCATTCAAACTTGGATTCTCTATTAAGATAAACGGATCATTTTCTCTTTGTAAATGTGTTTCTGAATTCATTGTTGGTTTAGTTCATATTCCATTTTCTTCTATTTTGTATATCTTCATTAAACAGCACTTCTTTTGTTGATATATATGAGGGAGAAAAACATGTAAACATGACCTTCTGATAGATTCATGAATAAATATAGTTATCGATAGATGAGAAAAAAGTATCCTTATGAAGAAACATATATACATGTTTCATTAAAATCTATTAAGGAGAAATTAAACATTGAAGAGGATCTTAAACTTGTTTTGTTTTCAATGAAGACTCTTCGGAAGTACACAATAATAATGGACTAGATTTAATGTTGTTAGAATTTACTTAAATCATGATATTATTCTATAACTGAGTCGAAATATAATGACCCATACATACATTTAACACACCAAAGTGATGTTATGTTACTAGTGAGAGACATTCACATTGATCTATGACTATGAGATCTTGAAGTTCATTTGAGATGTATTATATGAGATCAGTTTTAATAATTTACATTCATTCATTTTATCAATAGTGAAATGTTTAGACATGTATAAAAATGTGAAGAGTTTTTTTGTATATGATGACGACAGATTGAATGAATTAGTATCAGATAGTGAATTTCTGATGACGATCTCTTGATTTCAATAATTAGAACTTACTATATTTCATATTATTATATAATTCCTTGTGAACAGTAATGGTTAGGCTGTTTCTCCCCAAAATGCCCTAGTACGGCCGAGGGTGGGGATAGTCCATTCTCATAGCCACGTAAATACAGCTACTGTCAGGGAAGTCCTACTCATTGCCTTCTCGTGGCGGGAGTGTTGTTTACGGAGTTGAGAGAACGAAAAGCGAATGTCTGGCGCTTTAATCGGGTTGATGGACATGGACAATCTACCTAGAGAAGTTGGAAAACCCTGATTCCAAACTAACGATGCAAATGGCCTGAGTGAACAAATATCGTATGAACCATTTGTTGGTCACCGGCTACCATGGAACTGCATCTCCTAACATTGCTCCACTGCTTTGTGGATTAGACCTTCAAATCAAAGGATCAGGGTGTGGCCTCCTAAGAAAACTACCTGCTTCGGTTTGGGAACCCGGGGAGCATCTCGGTGCTCACACAAATCGAATGATTTACGTGGCTCATATCTGTTAGGTGTCTTCATGTATCAATGTTTATGTGCTTAAATAAATCTATTAGGCTGTTTTACTAATTTGTCTATTTTAGTAAAGTTAACTCAAGACATTCACGTTTTTCGTGTACTACGGTATTACTCGACCACTGAGTTAAAATCCGATTGTTCTAATTCCTTAATTCCATGTATTTTGAAAAATAGATAAATCAGTATACCAAGCTACTTTTGGTCAACTTTCAGTTCATAAAAATGTCTTTGAATAAGTGTAATTATTCAATCCTATATATGTATTTTTATCCAAAAAATGCATAATTATGGACTTATAACTGTTGAGCCTAATAGTGAAGTTATTAAAAGCAAGTGTTCTCTCAAATATTCTTAATTTTTTGAATATTCTATTGGGATTTTTAAACTGCTAAATTCGTTTTATCAGTACGAGGTTGTGAAGATTATTAAGTTTCTGATTGAGATCATGAACTGATTGATGCTAGACTACCATTGAAGACGGCCATTTCGTTCTAGTGCGGGAATCTTCAGCAATGCATATTCACGATCCCGCTTGCGACATTCAAACTCAGGGCCTTCGATCTCTCACGCGAAAGCTTAACCCGCAGACCACTAATCCATTTTATGAAAGTATCAAATGACTTGATAAATAAACCAACAATAAGTGTACACCTCAAAAGGTTCTTAACCACTTCTTTATTTTTGAAAAGTTGAGACTATAATTTATGGACAAGCTTTGAGAAACGCTAAACTGACCTTGAAAATCAGATTTACGATAACAGGTCATCTATTTGGCTAAATAGCGTATTCACATTTTAGCTCGTGATGAAAACGCCAAATCTAATTCCTAACCCTAACCATTAACTGTGAATCAAACCCTTATTTAGCCCTAATATATATATGTGAACATTCTCAAAATCAGTTTAGCACCACTGAATGTTCATTCATACATCATAGTCTCATCCAGATAACTTGTTGAAATATTTAGATGGCAAGAACAAGTAATCCAAATATTACAAAACAGATTGATTTTCAACTTTCACTTAATGTAATTTATTTATGTTTACCAGGTAATTGATTTTTGTTTATTTTCTAGAAGTGGAACACATTCCAATGTTTGTTTACTTATTTGTTTGTATTTTTAAACGAATTGAATTCAATCTCTAAAGCAATGCGATTGAACATTCTCAAAAAATAATAAACTTACTTAGAGATTATAACAATCCAGTAAAAGTAAACAACCTTCAGTTGTTTGGTTGTTTGTTTGTTAGACAATTTATGAAATACATCAAGATAAATAAACATTCTCCATGGTACAAATAAAAGGCACACCTTAACTTCTACTTTTTCACTTATTAATGGAAATGATGTGCTTTACAAATTAATGTTGTGAAGAATAATTGAATATAGAATATTTAAGACTTATATGTCAATTTAAAAAGAAGAAAGTATAGCGAGTATTATCATTATTATTAGCAGTAATAGTAATTTGGTGTGCACTACTTATGTTAAGAGATATAAGTAGTACATAACATCAATCGAAAATGAAGTTCCTAAATGCAGAAGGTCGAAGAGGAGAGAACGAGAACTTGAAATGATTGGTATGGAAATGAAGGAGCAATGAAATCTGAGACAGCTGATGGACATTTTGCAAATGAAGTATTTACTTTATGATTCTGTAATTTTGTATTGAAATACATTCGATTGTCCCCACGGGTGCTCTCGTTCACAACAGTAGTAGTAGCAACAGTAGTAGTATTGGTAAACTTCACCCTGATATTCTGGTTATATAAATCTCTTAATGATCTTTTCTTAGTATCCATGATACCTTGTTTAACCTAGGTTTCTTGCCAGTTACCACTTGTGAAGAAGATGTACTGTTAATTGTCAGGGAACTAATAATCACACATAAGGTTCAAACAGCTTGTCGATAAAATCTCACACTGTCAAACTGAGCGACTAGAATTCAAACTTATCAGGTGAAAATTAGTTTCTTTAAGATTACAGCCAAGCATATTCAACTGGTATCAAGTAGCACGAAACCTAGATCAAACAGTGTTTCTGATCCAGCTAACTTAAACTACCTAACATCTAAATCAAATCAATTAAGTTAGTGACTATACCGAAAATTGATATGTAGACCTTGATTAACTGTTAAAGAGAACTGGATGAACAATTTAAAAACATAGCTGATAAAAGCACTTGATTCTTCATAATTCACATAACGGACTTGTAGAGGCTGGTACTATTTCAAGCCCATATAGGTTATTCTAGCCTCTGAACAGATCAATCTATTCATTCTTCTCAAGCTATATTTTGACCTTGTTAATCATTCACTTATCAACCTTGACTGTTTTTATGTGAGCGTATGCGTGTACACTTTTCATGCTACTCATCACATGTCCGGAACTTATTTTTATCTGACTACAAATAATGATTAACGCTTGATTTAAATCGAGTTGGTTTACATGCTTCATCTACCGTGCGTTATTTCTCTCCGTTTTTCCGATTGTTTGTCGTGACCAACGATTGTATGAAATACTCGTATTCGAAATTCGTTCTCGTATTTGACTCATTTAATTCCATCCTTCACCAACGCAAGCTAAGTCGATAATTATATGCGAAGATTGGTGGAATGTGTATTTCAATAACAATTATTCATAGGATCTAACTGGAGTCAGATCTCGGGCCACTAAAGACTAATTATAGTTAGACAATATTGCAATATTGCAAATTCGTCAAGGTGAGACTTGTAAACTACTGGGTTCAAACTCATTGCTTTAAAGGTTAAGCAGTCAAAGAGAAACCTGAATGTTCTTCGTTTCATCCGTAGTTGGGTTGTGGACGCTCACTTCTGAAGAGTTCTGTTTTGTGACGAAACAACTATCCAGTTCAACATGATCTTCAACGTATATCTATTAAACATTGTTCTGTGATATAAACTAAGAAAATTTAACAATCTCAACAAATCCCTATAGCTATAGAACTCAATTTAGTTAACGGTTATTCATAAAGCTTAATTTATAAGTAATCAATAGCATCTTCAAAACTATTAATTGATAATCAGTCTAACATTTTCTTTTTTATTCGAAACGTTTCTCTAAAGAACTATTCTACTATATTTATCTTCAAAGGTTAAATTAATTCTCTCTTTCCTTTTTTATATGAAGTTACCTTTTTTAGTCTAATAAGTGATCAAAGCCTTCAATTAGAATGGACTTTTATTTTCAACTACAGAAAATTTATCAAATGTATATAATCAGAATGGGGAGTTTGTGGAGATTGTAGGAACCTTAGTAATTGATTTCATGAGTCGATTTAAGCTGGACCACCATTGGATACCTAGAAGCACCAGACCGCCATTGGATGCTGGCTTAGTGGTCTAGAGGTTAAAAGTTCGCATGCGAGACCAAAGGTCTTGGGTTTGAGTCCCGATGTGCGGGATCGTGGATGCACGCTGTTGAGGAATTCCATACTAAGACGAAACAACCGTCCATTGCTTTCAGGTTTTTAATATTTCTAGCAAACTAATCCATAACCCTGTTTTCATCCTATTTACAATTCGTCAGTTCAGTGTGCCTGTATCCTAGTATTATCTCGGAGATTCGAAACCAATGCCTGTTTTATTCAGACCTTCAACGCATTATCAACACTAAGATGCAGGTAAATACAGCTGATGAGTCCCAAACAGAACAAAAAGCTAGTCTTCACTTAAGAAAGCTATCGAAACAATCTGTTCAGGTTGTGTGTAAGTTAAAAAGTGACTGATCAAAATTCAGTCTTTAGCATCAACAACGAGAATATTTAAGCACTTACCAATCAATATTAGCAAATGTATCCTTAAAAAAAACGTGAATCAGAAGTTAGTACACCAAATGACATAGGTCATCTTTATCTATTCACGATTTATACTTAAAACTTCAGTCAGGAATAAAGTCAACAATTTCATGCACTTAGTTCCCCTCATGAATTTAGATAAAGCTAGAATAAACATTAATGCAGAATCATCATAATAATAAACTCAATAGACTGTCGAAGAAAACCTTGTCTTCTAGTATGGTTCCTGTACGACCTAATGATAACACTCAAGTAAACAAAACATTCAACAGAGTTTACATAAACCCACTAAATATAGATCTCTTATAAACAAAATAAATTCATACAAACCATAAACGAATCATGTGATTATGTAACACTTCTTCTGATTTTATAAACTGATTAAGTAGAAATCAAACATCATTGTTTTCTATGGTGATCTAATTTTTGTACAATATAATTTCATATACTAAGTTTTACTCTTAGTGTAAGCATTAAATTTTGACCATTTTTAATTTGTATCCGAAGGAGTTTTGTGGAGATTGTAGTTAATTGAAGCTAGATCACCATGGAAAACCTGGAAGCACTAGACGACCGTTTCGTTCTATCGTGGAACTCCTCATCAGTTTGCATCCATAATCCCGCCTCTTGAGATTCGAACCCAGGATCTGTCAGTCTCGTGCACGAGCGCTTAATCACCATAAAAATATGAGGAAAATTTTTAACTAGTGTTAAACTTGAATAAAAAGTATGAATAAAGAAGAAAAATCAGTCGAAGCACATCTTGTTTAAAGTTACTTAACATAAAGATCTAAAGCAAGGCATTGTGTTAGTTAATACTTACTAGCATGAAATAATCGTGATGTTTTAGAAACTAAGCTCGATTCAAGATACAAACTAGAATCGTTTAATGTCAACGCGATATTACTCTTTAAATATTCAGGCCAGTTAGTGTAGTTTTTCTTGTTTCTGTTTCGAAAACAGAAGCTATCGAGAATACATAATGATAAACCAAATTTGTAACAGATATAGTTACCAGATGGGCTTTGTGGATATTATAGTAATTTCGGTGGTTAAGATCATGAGTCAGCTGAAGCCAGACCACCATGAAAAACCTGGAAGCACTGGACGGCCGTTTCGTTCTATTGTGGGTCACATTTATAATAAACTTAATATGTACCTTGATCTTGACTTGTCAACATTGTAATTATAAATAATAGTCATTTCTAACAATAAATTAATGAGATAATTCACTCATATTTTAATGTTCTACTTTTTAATTTAAGGAACAAAAGTCGAGAGTTATCGATGCTATGCAAGAAATGAAAGTTAAAGAAGGTGATGTAGTTATTAAACAAGGTGATGATGGAGACAATTTCTATGTAATTGAATCGTAAGTTAGCTAAATTTTATTGTGAGTTTTATTTGACTATATTTTAAATAACCTGGTTATTTGTTGAACGTTACAGGAATATTCAATTAATGTTGATGACCTAATGTGTCACTAAAAATACAAGAAACTTCAGCCAACAGATGCAGTGTTTCCTTTTAAGTTTTCCAAGATAGAGAATCCCAAGTAGCTTGTAAACACTTCGGTACATACAGTTAGAATTTGAAACTATTCAGTTCAAACCAATGTAGAAGAAAAGACTTAGCTGGAATATTTGAGAATTTTAAAAGCTGTATGCCCAGACTTTATAAGCAAAAATGGATAATGGCTAGCAGTGGAATCCAGGGACTATTCAGTTGATGATCCACTTAGCTACTGAATCGTGATAGCCACCTGCTTGTGTAATTGGGTGAAGTTTTAAATTGGTTTGATGGTAAGATACAAGTAAACAACATCAAGTGAATGTATGCCCAAACATTTAAGTGTGCCACCAACATCTGGAACAATTATCCAACATTTCTAGAATATTCACAAGCGTTAGTAACTTACCAGATAATAATCAAATTATTTACTTTCTTCAACATTCTTAATATTTTGGACACAATGACATAAAGTTAATATCAAGAAAGAATCAAAAAGAATATGCAAAGGTTTTAATTATAGAGTATAGAAAATAGACTTGAACAGAAGGTAGTCAACGGAATATGACTAGCAAGACATAAATAATGTACAATTTACATTTGATGACGCAATACATAAACAAAGGGATAGCATAAGAATACGAGATATCATAAACAACTGTTTCGTAACATGTTCAGCATCTAAGTGAAAATACATAGTCAAAGTATCTGCTGTTATCCAATGGTATTATGTTGGGAATATCCAGAAAACTTCTCGGAAAAAGCCAAGAAAGTCTTTGAAAACACTGAGAAGAGTTCAGTAGAAGTTTTGCTAGAAACATCAAAAAAGTGAAAAGTCACATGTAGAGTTTCTGAATGGCTGATCACCATACTGCTACTATATTTAGTAGCATTCCAGAATTTTAGAGGAACACAAGGACATTTAAAATACTATAGAAACCCTATATTTTCTGTACATAAATGAACCATTGGAGTAAAGTGTTTTTTACACATTTCGTGCCTTTTCCCTCGTGTTCAAGTCACTGTGTAAGCCTGGGGCTTACTAAAAGAGCTTAGGAACAGAATATAGTGTTCAATTAGCAAGACTTATCATATAACATATTGAATATTAGAAACATTTTAAAAATTCATTTTGAATAAAACTAAAGAGAATTGAGCGGAGTAAAGTTTCTTTTCGACGAAGTCATTTACTTAGACTGTACATTTATATCTATAAAGAAAGATAGAAAAGATTGCATTATTAAGTGATTCGAGATTGCAAATATCAAATGAGGTTATGTAATAATCAGGTGGTTAGGGAAGAACAGGGGGATGAAAATAATTTACGGGTCAGTATTATGAAAGATAATTGTCCACTTGACAGATATGAAGAAAAATAAATAATGAATTGAATAATGATCTTAACAAATAGTTAAAGATTTGTAGCTCAGGTGGATGATGTTGATGTGGAGTTTTGTTCTCTATGCTGGATGTTTTGGTCGTAGAGATTTCATCGTTCTTCTGAACGACTTCTATCCGAAGTTTGTGCTGATGATGTCGTTCAGAAGAACGATGAAAACTCCACGACCAAACCATCCAGCTCAGAGAACAAAACCCCATTGAAGTTGTTAAACGATAATAATTACCGATTACCACTTAAAATTGCAAAACACTAATTTTAAATAAATACAGGACCAAAACATACTTCAGAAGAGAATTAAAGCCAAAAAAGGGTGAGAGCTTATACATATCGTTTTTGCAGTCGGGATTCAGGCTAAAATCAGTGGATCTCCAACGCCTCAGCAGTACATAAGTGTTTTATTCGGTGTCTAATTTATTATGTTCCTTCGATTGCTTAGATTTTTCTGAAGAAAGGATCCTTGGGAGCAACGTATTCAGAGTTGAACAGGTGCTCCTGCATTGAACTGGTGATATCTTTGTATTCCCTTATCAAAAGCCACACCTGGTTATGTTCTGAGATGCGTTTAGAAAGTGATTGCTTTGTGCAGTCAATGTAAACTGCCCCACCGTAACAAGTAAATTTATAGATGCACATCGATGTGACCCGAAGCAGAAGTTTATCCTTAACATATCCGTGAGTGGTAGACCGGGTTGAAAAGACAATACAAAGCTTAGCTGAATAGAGGGCTTTACTCAGGAATTTTAAAATCCAGTTATTCAAGATTTCGGCATCCTTATCTCCATTAAATTCGATATTCAGAAAAAAACTTTTCTTTCGAACTGTCGGTTCTTTCCCAGGGTGTTGTCTTGGTGTTAAGTTCCTGTTGATAAATCTAGGTGAATAACCACTTCTGATGAGTATCTGCCAAAGTCTCAATAGTTCGTCATCTGTTATTTCACTATGACATATTTACCTAGTCGTCGAGGATAAAGAATAAGTTGTTTCGCTTTCTTCGCAATGAGACCCAGCTATGGAAATTCTCATACCTACCATTCCAGGTTGGTCTTTTACACACAGATCTCTGTAAAGAACCATCTGATCTCCTTTTCAACCAAACATCAAAAAAATGAAATTCCTTATTCGCGTGCGCTTCTCATGTGAATTGAATTAGGTGATGACAATTATTGAATCGGTTCAAAAGTTCATTGAGGTCCATATCTTCACAAACAATAAATGTATCATCCATATATCTTCTATATAAATGAAATATCTCAATTATTACTTGATGTACCGTATATTCTAGAATGGTTATGAAAAAATTATTCAAGAGAGAGCCCCTTGGTGAACCCGTTGCAACCCCATCAGTTTATCGATGAAATCATCTTTCCACCATTTATATGAATATTTCAAATTGAGTCGACAAAATCAAACAGATCAAAATAGTTGTGTCTATCGATATAATTTTTAACGATTTGTAAAATCTCAGCCAACCATTTAGCAATCAAATGTTACGAAAAGCTATTCATATCAACAATAAGACATATGGGGGTATTCTACCAATAAACTTTCGAGAGTTCATATAGTCTCGGTATAGCGGAACCCGATAACCCAAAAATGTTGTGTAGAATCCAAACTAAGGTTTGGACTGAAGAATAACTGTCTAGGTAGTTTAAACCAAAAAACAAGGTGATTGGGTATATGACGGTTCTAGATTTCATTATAAATGTAAATGTACATTATTACCTAAACAGATATTACCACCGAGTTATTTAACCAATAACTGTTCAATCAATCAAATCTAAATTACAATAAATAAACAAGTTGATTAAGGATGCGAGAAAATTATCAGTCGCAACAAATAAATGTTATTCTATCCTCTCTGGATAGACCACGCACTGATTCGTTCAAAAAATAATATTTGGTTGCTTTATAACACAGAGTGTTTCCAATTCTGAAATAGTGCTTCAATTCACAATCAAAAATTCACGATTACAGTCAATGCAATCAATACAATCAAAGGAGGAACAAATCAATATGGCGGCTGCCAAGACTAAATATCAACTAAAACAACATAAATGAAGTTCAGAAAGAAACATGAAAACTCAATGAAAGCGTAAGGAAAACAAAAATTACAATAAAATACAAATATTGCCATCTCAAATGGAATCAAAAAGACTAATAAAATGTACAACTGAAGGAATCAATAGGAACAAATTAAAAGTGTATAAATGGAGGGATTTTCACAAACAAGATCGTCAAAATGGATCTTACATGTTCATCCATTGGCCGGATACCATCAGCAACAGCCTTTTGTGGGAGAGAACAAACTAGCTTCCAGCTGAAGACGAAATTAGGAAAAGACGATGGAAATGGATAGGACATACACTACGCAAATCATCAAACTGCATCACGAGGAAAGCCCTAGATTGGAATCTTGAGGGGAAGTGGAAAAGAGGAAGGTCGAAGAACACATTACGTTGGGAAATAGAAACAGATATAAAAAGGATGAATAACAACTGGAAAGAGCTGGGAATGATTGCTCAGGACAGTCTTGGATGGAGAATGCTGGTTTGCGGCCTTTGCTTCTTAACGAGGAGTAACAGGAGTAAGTAAATAAGTAATGTTCAAATAGGTCACAATTGAAAATAGACCTATTTTTCATCTTCCTTAAAATCCTAGTTAACATCCTCCCATATGATTTTTTTACAGCATTTTTCGACATTCGAATATATCGAAGACATCAACGCTTAATTTCATCATAAGGTTCATCAAACTTTCTTTAATAAAATCAGTTTATTTATCTTCACAGGTTTTGTGTTTTCCTTCCTTCAAATCTTGCAATGTTTATTGACAATTGTAAACAAGATTGATGTAATCTCAATCCTACCATTACTCTTTACAAATATTATTTAAAGATTCACTTGGTATTGTTTGGCTTGTATTTTCCCATTGAGGTTCAAGACTGCAATTGATCAGTCTGTTATTGACATATGTGCATACTGTGCGTATGCCTCCATATTGCCTTAATTCACAAGCTTTTGTAAGCAATGATGGATAGTGGCTAAACGTGAGACCAGCCTCCGGGTGGGCACGAACCACCAACCTTTCGGTTAACAGCCGAATGCGCTAACCGGTTGCGCAAAGCTTATAAATTAAGGCAATATCGAGACATACGCACAGTATGCACACACACCAACAACAGACTGATCAATTGCAGTCTTAAACCTCAATGGGAAGATACAAGCAAAACAATACCAAGCGAATTTAAATTCACCCCATTGCACAAGCAAGTGGCTATCAGGACTCAGCAGCTGAGTGGATAACGCGATGGCGCTTGAGGCGGACGGTACTGGGTTCGAGTCCCAGAGTGAACATCAACTCTGGGATGCAGGTACATTCAGCTGACCAGTCACAAATAGGACGAAACGCGCGTCCTGGATTCCACTGCTAGCCACTATCCATCATTGCTTACAAAAATTATTTAAAGATGTTTATCTCTTAAACTGAAAAAAAAAATAGATTGGATATTTTGTTTTTCGTTTTGGAAATATACTCAAGACATGGTTGTTTTTATGATGTATATGTTTGGCTTTCTTTGATTATACGCATGGACATTTGTTTAAACTTGAGGAAACGAAACTTGTAAACAATTATATACATATATAACGAAGTAAATACAGTCAAAGGGTAAATTATTCAGTTCTGATTAAACATAAAACAAAATATCATTAGTGAAGAAAATTCTTTTCAATAAAATTCTCTTTACGCTTTTTGAGATGATGGAGGAGATTTGTTGTTCAGGTGGATGATTTTGATGTGGAGTTTTGTTCTCTGAGCTGAATGGTTTGGTGGTGAAAATTGGATCATTCTTTTGAACGACATCATCAGAACAACTTCAGGTAGAAGTGAAGTTTGTGCTTGTTGTGATGTTGTTCAGAAGAACGATGAAAGCTTCACGACCAAACCATCCAGCTTAGAGAACAAAACTCCAACAAAATCTTTACGCTTTGTTTTAACATGAAATGATGTTGATTTGTAAATTTAAAGACATTAGACCAAGTAAAGTTATTTACTATATGATTTGGTATAAAATGATTGTTTCCGGTAACTTATATTTGTTTATCAATACTTTAATCAATGATTAGGGATTGCTCTAATAAGATATGAAATATCTAATAATCACTAACTTGAAGTTGAACAAGCCGAACAAAGCAAATACATAGCTTCACTTTATTACATTCGTTTATTGATTAGCTTATGACAGATAGAACTAATTAGAGCAATAGGAAACGGGCTATCATATTCCGTAGCACTTTTCAAACAAGTTTTTTACAAAGGAAAAGCTATGGATATCGGAGTCTGTAACCGTCGTCTTAGTATTGAAAAGAAATTTATAATACTTCTTTAACTTTCTAGAACACAGAAAGCTTTATAAACAACGTTGCTTAATTTCAGTCCTTCGCCATATTCTCTTCTTCACTATTCAGGTATTTAAACATTGATTATTTACACAGTTCATATGTCAGTATTAAGCAACTTCTAACGGTCATTCTTTCTAAGATTTCTTCTCGTGTTTCACCTTAATTCGAATATTCGATCATGTTTGTCATACTGTTATCACGATTTTTACTACTACTACTACTACTATTATTATTACTACTACTCACACTACTACTGCTATCTAACCGTAAATCTCCATCAGCTGAAGTGTTTGGAGTATGTGTTATGTATGCCCTACCGGAATCTACCTCAACTGGCGATTTTTATTCGGCGGCGGAATAGACTGAACGGCCGAGATGGTAACAATAAGACATGGTATCAGTTCATGAAGTTATTGATTGTTTTTCTGAGCTACTTATATAAGTGTACACTACTTGATTAAAGACTTTGAGTGATTTGTCTCAGAAATGTTCTCAGCTGCATAGGTAAATTCACTCTGTATCTTTTTCTTAGATCCTAAACCTCTCAATTATTCATAGATTCATATTTCTTTCTTCAATCAAATCAGTCCCTATTCTTTTCTGTTGTCGTTAATACTGCTACTGCTTATACGACCCTGGCATTTCGTTGTGCTAATATGTAAGGACAAACTGACCTAGTCCGTATTTGTCCAAGATTCTATGCTGCATATGACTGACTGTATATAGGAGTAAAACCTTATGAAGATCCAACTGAATATAATTATATTCTTACATTTGCTTTATCCTAACTTAACTACTGGGAAATTTTAATATTTTGAAATAAAATACTTGCATCAGTACAACAGAAATACTGTAGTCTTATATTTCTTACAAAAACTTATATGGATTATTCATATTACATTGTATTACATATTTAATATTTTTTATATACTGTAGAGGCACCTATGATATATATGTTAAACAGAATCAGTCAACTGAAGAGAAAATTGGTGAAAAAGTTGGATCATACAATGGTCATGGTTCATTTGGTGAACTTGCTTTAATGTATAATACATCACGAGCTGCTTCTATAATAGCTACTACAGATGGTATACTATGGCTTATGGATAGAAATACTTTTCGACGTATTGTTCTTAAAGCAGCCTTTCATAAACGTCAAACATATGTAGAATTGCTTGAGGATATTCCATTACTTAAAGAATTAAGTAGTTATGAACGTACAAATGTTGCTGATGCACTACAATCTAGAGTATATCAAGATGGAGCAACTATTATATCTCAAGGTGAAACTGGCAAAGAAATGTTTATTATTGAATCGGGAACTGTAAGAATAAGTGTAAAAGAGGTAAGATTGAATAATGTTTAATGTAAATATGACCATGCGATAATTGTAAAAAAATTACATCAGTTTCCTTAGTACTGACTTTATAACCAAAAAAACTAATCGTCCGAAGAAAGTAACTCGTTCGTCAAAAACAGATTTATGTTTTTGTGGCCAGGGATCTGACTCCAATTAGATCAAACGAATGAACGTTATTGAATGATTGTTGTCGAAATATACATCCTGACTATTCTCGTATATTTTTATCGACGTAGATTGCGTTGTTGAATAACGGAATTAAATAAGTCAAATACGAGAATGGATATTTGAATACGTATATTTTGTAAACTCATTGATTTGAACAGTCAATCAGAGAATCGCAGAGAATGAAGCGAAGAAGAGAGAGCGAAGCAAAACAAACAGACGCACGGTGGAGAACACGTGTAAACCAACTGCATTTATTCGTCACACAAAAATAGGCTACAGACATGTGATGAGTAAGGCAATTAACTAGCACACATACGATCATATAAATACAATCAAGGTTAATAAGCGAATAATTGACAAGGCTAAAATGTGACTCATTAGGAATGAATAAATTGATCTGTTTGGAAGCTAGAATAAGTTATATGCGCTTAACATAGGAACTGATACTACAATGTACTCGACTTTGAGCCACATAAGGGTTCATGACGTTATCTGGCTGCTTAGATCAAAGTTGAGCGAGGTTGGCACCTGTAATTTCTTGCTAAAAAGGGAAGATGTTAACCCATCTTTCCACTTTGTAATCTCTGTCCTCAAGTTGAATGCACGGTTGTTGTTTTTTTCAGATAAATTCAGGCCACATCTCATATCAAAAACACAACTAAAATTTGCATAAATTGTAAATAACTAAATATCTAAAGTTAGTATACATGTGACACAGTTCGGATTCTTCCTAGTATAGTTTAACTTTAAAATTTTGACCATTACATCCTTATACTAAGATCTACATTAGCGTTATTTTTCTGTATACTTGGAAGCATGCATAGCACGAAGTTTGGAATCATTTCCAACTCTATAATGTTGAATTATTTCAAAGAATTGATACTTAAATAAAGAAATATCACTTCAGATAACTTCCTATATCATAATACAGCTCATTTGATGTTAAACCTCCCATTCTGTTATATTATTGGACATTGTTGGTTAGATTGAATCTTCCCTTCTCAAAGAAATATTAATTCACCTAATGACACTTATAAGCTTGAATATTCAAACTATTAAGATATTAATCTATGGTTATTTAGAAAATCCAAAAATGCCTACTGAATACTAAAATATCAGTAGTAAATACAATATAATTACCTTAATTAAATTATCCAAATTACGTAAATTTAGTTGATTGATAGAAAAACAAGTTTAAATAAGTTTTTTTATTCATTAAATAAAGTTTACTTTATGATTTCTACTATAGAATTCAAAAGAAGTGGAATTGAGTCGAGTTGGTAAAGGTGCTTATTTCGGAGGTATGATACATTATTATTATTACTATTATTATTATTAATGACCCTATTCAATATTATAGTTTTCGGTACAGTGTGGAATTCGCAGCATAAAGTATTTCAACAAGTTTCTGTTTCTTATTTCTTGATCGATATTGTCGATAAATATTGAGTGATCACCAGTTAAGTGTTATCAGTTCAAGAATCGACATCTGAATAATGTACAATTCTCTCGAACGCATATTGTCAGACACTAAAATGTCTGTGATTATACTTTTTTGTAACTTGTACAGAGAAAGGTTGTATACTTTTGATAAACGCTCTTGAATAGGTTATGCGATTACTAGATATAATGATGTGTTAAAACAAACAAAAAGAACATGTTGAAATATTCTGATGGTAGTAACAAGTAGTCGAAATATTCCAGCAGACTGCCAACCTCCGTGCCGTTACTTACTTACTTACTAACTAACTAACTTACTTACTTACTTAGTGTATGTCCTATCCATTTCCATCGTCTTTTCCTAATCTCGTCTTCAGCTGGAAGCTAGTTTGTTCTCTCCCACAAAAGGCTGTTGCTGATGGTATCCGGCCAATGGATGTTGAATATCGTGCGTAGACAACTAGTTATAAGTACTTGTACCTTCTTGACGATGATGTTAGCAGTTCTCCAAGTTTCAGCTCCGTACAGTATAATTGCCTTGACGTTGGTATTGAAGATTCTCACTTTGATATTGGTTGAAAGTTGTTTTGAGTTCCGTATGTTGTTCAATTGTAGGAATGCTGTCCTTGCTTTGCCAATCCTCGCCTTTACATCTGCATCTGAACCTCCTTGTTCATCGATTATGCTTCCCAGGTATGTGAAGGATTCTACATCTTCAAGAGTTTCGCCATCAAGAGTGATTGGATTGCTGTTTTCCGCTTTGAATTTGAGGACCTTGGTTTTCTCCTTGTGTATGTTGAGGCCTACTGATGCAGAGACTGTTGCTTTCCGTACCGTTAATGGATGTAAATATAAAAGTGCCATATAAAGTAGTTTCATGTTAAAAAAAGAGAAATCGGATATAGTTATATAATAGTTGATAGTTGAATAGACGTTAGAAAAAACTCCTGACATTCTTTGAGATGAGAACTATTTTTACGAATATAACGATTATTATGGTTTACATGATAAAATTATTTTCGTTAGATAACGATTGAAAATCAGTAAACATTGGATGATTGTTTCGTGTTAATAAACAACTTTCTAACAGTATGAATTTACAACGTCACTAAAGAATCAAGCCCAGTACCCTTGATTTTGAAACAAATGTTTAAAATAAGTGTTAATGAGTCGGCATCCAATCGACGTACTATAATGAACTCATGATAGTGATCAATCATTTTCTATTGTCTGATGTGAATAACTATTTTATGCTTGAAATGGCTGAACTTCACAAATCACGTCTTCTTATCAGAATTGCTGAGATTACGTGTCAAAGTTAGTTACTAGTTCTCATAATAATGTATGTCTTTAAATGCAAATACATATTCTCATTCATTGAAATCCTTTAGAGGATAGTTGAAAACTTACAATTCTAGATAGTTTTTCTTTTTCTTTTCAATTCGAAACTCTTTATCACTATTCATAATAATAGTAAATGGTGCCACTGAATAATGTTGACAGTAAAACATTAATTCATTCATAACAGTGATTAACCATTGTATAATATCATAAATTAGATGAAATCAAAAATGTGAACTTATAGATTTTAATTCACTAAACCGAAGATAATCTTACGTGATCATTTCAATCTTATATAAGCTTGTGAATGTTAAGATAGCTTTCCACTGTCTATTAGTTCTCCATGTGATGTTAATTTTTCACAAACTTCATCTTCAGAAGAAATAAACAATTATTTTTTGAAAAAAATTTACTTACTTACTTACTTACGCCTGTTACTCTTAATAGAACATAGGCCGCCAACCAGCATTCTCCAACCCACCCTGTCCTGGGTCTTCCTTTACAGTTCTATCCAATTCTAGTTCATTCTTCTCATGTCTATTTCAATTTCTCAGAGTATTGTGTTCTTCGGTCTTCCTCTTTTCCTTTGGCCTTGAGGATTCCATGTGAGGGCTTGCCTTGTGAAGCAGTCAGGTGCTCTCCTCAGTGTGCGTCCTATCCACGTCCAGCGCCTCTTCCTGATTCCTTCCTCCACTGGGATCTGGTTTGTTCTCTCCTATAGTGTCTGGCCAACGGATCCGAAGTATTTTGCTTGAGTAACTGTTAATAAACACCTGTATCTTCTGGATGATGGCTCTCGCAGTTCTCCAGGTTTCTGCCCCATACAGTAGAACTGTCTTGACATATGTATTGAAAATCCTGACTTTGGTGTTGGTCGACAATTGTTTTGAGTTCCAGATGTTCTTCAGTTATAAATATGTTACTCTTGGTTTGCCCGATCCTTGCCTTCACATCCGCATCAGATCCACCATGTTCACCAATCATGCTACCCATTTCTAAAAAAAGTAGACAAACATTATTTGACATTATCTGTTCTATACAAACAAATCAGTTTTTATCAGTTATAAAGTATACAATAACAATTCAATTCATAAGAATAAATACTAAAAATAGCAATCTAGTTAGACTAGGTCAATGGAAAAGATAAGGCTAATTCAAAAACAAAAAGTCGGTGTAAACAGTGATGTATTTCCTTTTAATTATGTATATTTATTTAAGATCTTTATTATGAATTATTTATGTGTTATGTCAAATTTGATTGATTAACCTTTTATCTAAGTAAATAAACATTTGGTACAAGCATCTATAGAATAGTAAATTGTCAAGTTGAAAATATTTACTTAGACCTTCATGGAAAAATATAACAAACTTGATAAGTGATTATATAAGCTAATTTAATTTCAATTCATTTGGTATTGTGTTGTTGTGAACCACCTCGATATTGCTTTGAATCACAAGCTTTATAAGCAACGATGAATAATAACTAACAGTGATGGAATCCAAGACGCGTGTTTCGTTCTATTTTGGACTCATCAGCTGGATTTACCTGCTCCCTACAATTGATGTTCATCCAACTGAAGAGTCTCAAATAAGATGAAACTCACGTCCTAGATTTCATTGCTAACCACTGTCTATCTGCGTTAAGCTATACTTACTTAATTACTTACGCCTGTCACCTCTCATGGAGGAGCATAGGCATTCTCCATTCAACTCTGTCCTGGTCAATCCTTTCCAGTTCTTTCCTGTTGCTATTCGATCTGTTCATATCTGCTTCCGATTCCTGACTCAGTGTGTTCTTTGACCTTCCTTTTTTTGTTTCCCTTCAGGATTCCAAGTTAGTGCTTACCTCGTGATACGTGCTAAGTTATACTATAGTTAAATATTTAAAACGTAGATATATAAACAAATAATATTGTATTCAATAAATTACTTCCAAGTTATGTAATTATATAATCAAATTAATAATCCCAAAAGTAATCAGGTTTAAGACAAGTACAGTGTTTAAAATGATAGAAATGTGAATTTAGGATTGTTGGTAGAATAAAATGACATTATCAGCGAGAGACTAATGAACCTGGGTTCGAATCTCGCGGGGGGGGCGGAATCGTAGACGCGCACTGCCGAGGAGTCTCACAGTGGGACGAAACGTTAGTCCGGTACTTCTACGTCTTCCACGGTGGTCTAGCTTCAATTGACTCATGATCTCAACCATTGGAATCACTATAATATCCACAAAACCCCTTCTGATATGAATCACGTAATAATTTACTGGTTGACTTCACCCCAACACGGGACTCCTGAGCAGTGTGCATCCACGATTCAAACCCAGAACATGAGGCCTCGCGCGCAAACGCTTAACTTTTACATCACTGAGCCGACATCCAACGGTGTTAATGTCTAACTTCAATGAATCCACTAAATTGTGCGACCGTCCACGATTGTCTTCAGTGAGTAACTGCCTCACAGCAGACACGGTTTGATTCCATAGGTCAAGTCTATTCACTAGAACTCCAAGAAATACATCTTGAAGTCAGGTACTAGTGAGCACATGATGATTATTTTCAGAATGAAGGTTTTCGGAAATTGTAGTAATTTAGTGGTTGAATGCATGAGTCGATAATTACGCAATAGATGAATCATTCGAAAACTGTTAAATGTTTATCAAGACAACATAATTCATTTATGCCAGTATGTTAGATTTTATTAATTTTCATACTGTCATTATCTCAGATGACTTCCTCCAAATATAAATCTGATTTTAAATGACCTTAAACATGAAGACTACGAATATTTGCATGTAATTAACATCTAGATTTTACCACTCATGTTGTCCAAGAATATAATTTATGAAGTAAGTAATTCACTAAATGAAATAACTACCATAAATCTTTTCTCTATTTTCATTAAATTTTCAAGAATTGGCATTAATTACCAAACGACCTAGAGCTGCTTCAGCTTATGCTGTAGGTGAGACTAAATTAGCTGGTAAGTGTCTACTGATTCAACGTTGTGTTTTTTTAACTGTTATCTATATATATTCTGTAATTCATTCATACTGACTGTTTGTATCTTTCCCATGGTGCTTAAGAATGCAGTTGATCAGGCTCTTTTTGGCAAATGTGTATACTGTTCGGATTGCATCAATAACACCGTTAAGCCACAAGTAATCGATTCAATGAAGTAAGATGGTGACTTGTAGTGGAATCGAAGACGTACATTTTGAACTAGTATATCTAACTGGCGAGTTCCAAATGGGATAGAAAGTGCGTCTTGGATTTCAATGCTAGTCATCACCCAACTATCATTTATAATTGCTTATTTTGTTACTTTATTAATTATGTTCGTATTTCAATAACTGAGCTTATGTGTCGATTGAAAACCTGGAAGCACTGGATGGGCGTTTCGTCCTGTTGTGCAACTCCTCAGCATATTCATATTGTTGTGTAAACAATAGAAAACTGTTTTACAAAAAATACTTATTGAAATACAATCTGATTTAATTATGATTAGATGGAACTATTAATTTTTTGCAAACTTTCTAGCTCAGAAAGCGAAAACTCGTCTAAATCATCCAGTTGAGCTACATACCTTTTCCATATTAGTTCAATTTGTTAACAAGTCTTTCAGTAAATGGAATATACCCATTACGACATTAAATAAGAAAGATAGGTTCAAGGAAGAATTCCCGTTTCGGCGAATTCATTTTCAAAGCTGTACAATCACAAATAGATATACCTATCTTTTTTCAGGATGATAATAATTACAATAATAATGATAATAAACTTCTGTTAGACATGGTGACATTGAGGTAGAATAAACAAAGGTGTTAAAAAACATTTTTTAAACAGGGAAACTAATAATCGTTTGACTGTTAATGGTTTAGATTCTTCTCAAAAGATACATAAATTATCATTAGGAAAGGATAGCTCAGGATGATAAGATAAAATGTTGAAATTGAGATGAAATGTAATCAGGAGGATCGTAGAAACAGAAAGAAACCAGTTGGGTGTAGAAGGTTTGAGGAGAAAATGGAAGGAGAAGTAGACAGCTATAAAGGAAGAAGAGTATGAAAAAAAATTATAAGACATGAAGTCCATGGTAGAAGAACAAGTTGTACCAATCTCTTTTATGGATACACAATTCTGGTTTTTCCAGATATATGACTATTGCTTTGGCAATGCTAAAAAGATGAGATCTAATTTTCTTTGGAAATCTTCTACTTACTTTGTAGATGACTTTGAACGCAGGGTCTGTCTTGATTGAGTGACCTGTGTTAACAACGTTTTTGATTATTGAACTTCATATTGAGTCGTTTCCTCTTCTTTGTGGCCACGCCGGATAATGTTCTTGAATTCTTTTGGATAAACTACGCATCGAACAACCTATATACCTGGCTCCACATGAGCACGTAAAATGGTAAATGCACATTGAGTTTGATAGATGAGATAATTTATCCTTAAGATTATTGGTGAACAATGATCGGCTGAAGAATACTATTCAGAACGTGGCTGAGAAGAGCGTTCTTTCTAAAGAATCAGAAATTCTGCTCTTTAAGACGTATCTGTCTCTATCCGCCTTAGAGCCGATGTTCGTGTATAATGTTTTCTTTTTGACTGAAGTTATTTGTGTTTTTGACGGTTTCGGTCTGATGTTCTGATAAATTAATATCGAAGAATACGTGTTTTTGATAAGTATCTCCCTCAAGAGGCTCAGTTCGTCGTCTATGACTTCGGGACTACAAATTCTTTGTATTCGCGTGGCGAGTAATATTATTAATTTTCTCTTTCGACTAATGGGAACCCAATTGTGGAAACTTGTTAGTCGGACATTCCACATGGGTTTCCTGTAGATAGATCTTTTTAGAGTTTAACCTAGTTTTCTTGTCATTTCCACATCAAAAATGTGAATATTTTGTTTGTTTCCAACTTCAAGTGTGAAATTTATATCTGGGTAATTGTTATTAAATGTCGTTATAAAATGACTCAAATCATATTTGTTGTCACAAATGATAAAGTTATCATCTACATACCTTTTATACAAGTGGAAGTTTCCTATAGTCGTTTTAAGGTGGTTGTTTTCTAAACTGGCCATGAAGCAATCTATTAGTAATGAACCAACACGGGATCCCATTGCTATGCCATCATCTTGTCTATGAATTACGTCGCTGAATATAAACTGTACATTGCAAGTGCAACGTAGTAATAGTTCCTTCAAATAAACTTCCGGTATTCCGATGCTTATCGCATTGTTATTTTCACAGTTGCAGATAAAACTTATGGTCTTCTTGAATGAAACATTAGTGAATAATGATTCGACATTAGAGATAGCATAATTTTGTCATTTACATCCACTTCTTTTATGTGTTCAATGAATTAAAAAGTATCATGTACAGAGTGTCTACAAATGCATTTTCTTACGGGTTCTAGGTGGTCTGCCAGCCACTTTGCCATAGAGTGGTGAGGGGATCCGGACATATCAATAATTGGTCTGAGATGTAAGCCAGGTTCGTGTATTTATGGCAGACCATATATTCGCGGTATAATTGATATTGTTGGTTTTATGTGCTCAAGGACATGTTCATCGATTGATTGATCATTTTTTTATTCTCTTAAAAACTTCGATCAGTTACTTTGCTATTATTTCATTCTTGTTTTTCTCATTGATTAGTATGGAGAATTCGGTGTCATTTGACAATAACTTCGTCATTTTTTCGACATAAATCTTTCGGTCTAGCAGCACTAAACTCACACCTTTATCTGAACGTGTTATAATCAAGTCTTTAGTGTTTCTAAGCTATTTTAACTGATTACTATCTTTCGATGGAAATTTAAGCCATTAAAAATTAAACGATTATTAGTTTCCCTGTTCAGAAACTTTTTTTTTAAGAACTTTGTTTATTCTACCTCAATGTCACCATGTCCAACAGAAGTTTATTATCATTATTATTGTAATTATTATCATCCTGAGAAAAGGTAGGTATATCTATTTGTGATTGTACAGCTTTGAAAATGAACTCACCGAAAAGAGAACTCTTCGTTGAATCAATCTTTCTTATTTAATGTCTTAATAGGTGTATTCCGTTTAGTAAAGAAACAGAAATAAACCAGTGGGAGGGTAGAAAGTTTAAGGAGAAGATAGAAAGGGATGCAGTTGACTATAAAGGAAGTAGAGTATGAAGAAAAAAGAGAAAAATTATGAGACATTAAGACCATAGTAGAAGAAGAGGTTGTACCAATCTCTTTATGGGCACACTAATCGGCAATCTTTCTATGAACTGTGTCTTTAAAGTATCAAATTGTTAATTTGAAGTGGATAAACAGACATTTTTTCATGGGTTTGTTCTTACGGAAATTGTTCGCTTATTGAAATGTACAAATAAAATAAGGTATAGATTTTGAGATGGTGAAGATTTGTAGCTCAGGTGGATGAGTTTGTTGAAGTTTTGTTCTCTGAGCTGGATAGTTTGATGGTGTTTTACGAATGTGTCGTCCACATAAAGAATCCTAATTTTTGGCTTAATCACTGACAAGATCAAGGCTTCTAGTCTCTGCATCATTGCTTCTGAGATAATTCCTGATATTAGTGATCCCATCGGTGTCCCTTGTGTTCGTTCATAGATTTTGTTGTTGAATTGAAAATATGTTGTTAAGCATAAATCGATGAATTCTAATAATTTTTGACTTTGAAGCATCGTGTACTTTGCAAAATTTGCGTCATTGATTGAGAAGTAGGGATAGAATTTCCTTTGCTAATCTTGATTCTAATGAGGTGAATAATGCTGTTACATCGAAGGATATCATCAGTTCGTCATCGACCAAACCATCCAGCTTATAGCACCTCACGGGCAATTGAGTTTGTTCTCATTCAATTCAGTTAAACACTTTTGTTAACTTATTTAGCGGACAAAGTCATCCTTACTATAACAACTTATTGTACCTTTATTATTGTTGTGCTTGTATGAAATATGTATGCTAGCTTTATCATTAGCTGCTTAACTGATTCGATGATCCATTCATGTCCCTATGTATATAAACCTACATACTCTACTCTATCGGTACGCTGACTCATTCATTTGCCTCTGCTTTGTAGCCTGAGTTATCTGCTAATAAAACTGTAGTCGCTGGTTCCTTTTGCCTTCTGATTTCAAACACCGTTGAGGATTATATGATAACGATTACGAGGGTGGTTGGTCAACGAAGCACAGCCACTACAAGCTCAGAGAACAAAAATTCCACTAAAAAGGCATAGATTTTCCATATAGTTGTATTTTTAAATGATGTTTATACTAATTGAAGAGTATTTTTGAAATACTACTGTTCTTCAGATTCATTAAGTAATATTATTCAACATTTAGCCAAAAAAACATATTTCTTCTTTTAAGAATAAGTATACTTCAGTTTTTTTTTCAACTAGAATAAGAACTAGAGATTTAACTAAATGACATGAAAAGGTATATCCTACGCATTATACATGTTCTCTACTTTTCACCCATTAACTACTCAATGGTTAGTAATTATATCTTATTAAAAGATATTCCAACTACATACAAATAAACATGTCCGAATTATAATAAAGAAGACCTGGTTCAATTATGTATATACGTTTAAGATTGAGTTCAATCTATATTCATTAAAACTTTGCATTGAATTATTTCACTGACTTCATTTACATTCATTCAATCTTCCCATTTAAGTAATACATTAAATCAAACATAAAATACAATTTTTTCAACTGATATTGAGTACAGGATTGTTATAATTAAAGGTAAAATAGAAATGAAACTGATTACAACAGTATTCTTTATTAGATTCAAAGATGGATAGTGGCTAGCAGTGGAATCCAGGACACGCGTTTCTTCCTATTTGGGGCTCGTCAGCTGGATGTACCTGCATCTCAGAGTTGATGTTCACTCTGGGACTCGAACCTAGTACCGTTCGCTTCAAACGCCATTGCGTTATGGGTTTTTTCTACTATTGATATTTGAGACAGAATTGAATCAATGAATCATTCGATGTGTTCTCTTATGTTACATGTTTTACTATTTTTCTAGACAGTGGTTTTTAATACGATCTAAAAAGTCTATTTCACCTTACCTAAGATTCATGAGACGGATATAATTAGATACTAGTGTTGATAATCACACGGAGATATGAAACAGGTTTCTGTTAATTCGAACGTTAATATACCATTTAATAAATAACTAAGCCGCGATAATCATGATCTTATTCAATGGATATGATAATAATTGTTAATAACAGAGTATGTTTTTTTGTTCCTAAAACCTAATATAAACATCAACAGTGGGATTTAGATAGATTAAGTCGATAAAATCAAAATAATACAGATCAGACTATAACCCAACATTAGAAAATGGAATACAGTTATTCAGTTTTTTTTAAATCATACTACCCCTTTCTGATATGAATCAACATATGCTCACTAGTGACTGGTTTCAAGAGGTATATCCTGGAGTTCTAGTGAGAAGCAGTGACCAGTGGAGTTCAACGAGGTCTGTTGTGAGTTAGTGACTCACTGAAGACAATGATAGATGTGTCGGATACCAACCGACTCAGTAGTCTAGTGGTTAAGTGCTCGCGTGCGAGACTGATAGATCCTAGGGCGGTATTGTGGATTCACATTACCGAGGATTCTCACAATAGGACAAAACGGCCATTCAGTACTTCCATGTTTTCCTTGGTTGTCTAGCTTCAATTAACTCATGATCTCAACTATTTTTTTTAAAAAAAGAGAAATACGATTGACAATTTAATCCATATTTATAAACAATATCATATTGTTTTAATTTGTATACTGTTCTTCTTTGTTTTCTTTTTTCAAGTTTTGGATGTTGCAAGTTTTGAACGTTTAATGGGACCATGTCTTAAAGTGATGCAAAGAAATATTGATACATATGAAAAACAATTAACTGAATTACTTGGAACTAATAATCAATTAAAATTAAATGAATTTAGATCAAAATAATTTAAATAGATAAAAAAACCTTTTCTTTCTTTCTTCTTCGTTGTTGTTGTTGTTGATGTTTTTGTCGTTGCTACTATCGTTTTCTTTTTCAATGTTCAATCAAAACCCAAGATGACTATTTTAAACAAATGATCTTTCTATATATATATACATACATTTATGAAAAAAAGTATTCTGTTTATATATTACCAGTTGATTTTGTCAATTTAATGTTTACATTTCAGATTCTTCTTGTTTGTTTGTTTTTTTGTTTTCTTTTTTTTTTTTTGAAGTGAATATAAACTTCAGTACGATGTTTGTTTCATTACGTAACATCAATAAGGTTATTCATAGACATATTGATGATAGTATCATCATAATAGTATATATATGATTTTCTACGGTGAGTTAAACGTTCATCTTGAGTTGCCATCTCAACAACAACAAAAAACAAAGAAAAAAACAACAACAAAAAAGATATATATTACGTAATACCATTCACATATGAAATCGAAAATGATCATACTTGGTTATTGGATATAAATCTTCTTTTATGAAAAGAAGAAAACAAAAAAAACAACTAGAATTCATTTTGATTTAAGAATATTTTTTAAACGCTACAAATGTGTTATTCTTTTTTTCTTTCTTTTTTTCTTTCTCTGTTTTTTTTACTCATAACAATCAATATTGTAATAAAGTAGAGAAAACAGAAAAAAAGACAAGACAAGGTGAGTTACAGTCAAAATGTGTGAAAGAAAAAAAAGAGAAAAAAATTGTGCATTTCCATGTTTCATTCTTGTATTAAGAAATAAAGAAGGGATAGAAAAGAAAACAGATTTGCTTTTCTTATTTGATCTATTAATGTCTAGTATTGTAGTGATATTTTGATTATCAGAGAAGGGTTCTTCTAGACATTATGGTCATTTTAATAGTTGAATTCATCAGTTAATTAAAGCTAGACCGCCATGGAAAACCTGGAAGTATTAGACGGTCGTTTCTTTCTATTGTGTGGCTCCTTAGCAGTGCGCATCCATGATCACGTCCTGTGAGATTTTAAGCCCAGGAACTATCAGTTTCTTTAAACCAATGAGCCGGCTGAAATTTAATGGTGTTAATGTCTAACTTTAACTAATCCACAAAATTCAGCCACTGTCGCGTGGTGGAATGGTGGGTACGCGCTGCTGAGGAGTCCTATATTAGGATGAAATGGTCGTCCAGTGCTTCCAGGTTTTCCATGGTGGTCTAGCTCCATTTAACTCATGAATTCAATTATTAAATAAATAAATTCATTTGTTCGTTCTTTAGGAGAGAGTGTGTGTTTGGGAAAAGAGTTTCAATGTTTAACAGTTTATCACTGCTTTTTCAATATTTTAATTAAAATAAATGTAAAATTACTTAATTACTTACGTCTAATTCTTCACTCATGGGGGAGCATAGGCATCACACTAGGATTCTCTATCCAACTCTGTCCTGGGAAATGTAAAATACATTCATATAGATAGTTTTAATTAATAAAGAAAAGGATTATAAGAAGAGATGCATAGTGAGTAGCAGCGGAATCCAGAGAGTGAGTTTCGTCCTGTTTGGGACTGGTCAGCTGGATGTACTTGCATCTCAGAGTTGATTTTTGCTCTGGGACTAGAAACCTATATCGTTCACTTCAAACACCATCACGTTATCCACTTAGCAACTGCTAGCCGATATTCATTTTTGTTTATAATGCCTGTAATTTAAGGTAATATCGGGATAATACGCACATTATGCACATATGCCAATAAGAGATTATTCAATTGCAGTCCTGAACATCAATGGAAAGATTCAACCAAGCAATACAAAGTGAATTTAAAGAAAAGAGTTGTTTGAGATGAATATATGTGTTATGTCCCAACAAGAATAATGAATGGTAATTTCGGGGTCCATTTATGTACCAATACTATGCGTGTATTTTTATCGTATAATTGTTAAATAACTATACTATTCGTATTCATGTCTCTCTTATTATGAGCTTTATTTTGACCTATGAACTATTGTTATACGTTTCACCATTCTTGAATTATGCCCTGTTTATTATTCACTACCTCCCACATTCACAACCACATTTGACCAAATCTTGTATAAATGTTGTTTCCTATTTTATGGTATGGTGTAGTCTGTCTGGTTGGTATATAAACCCAGTATGCTTGAAATAAATGATTCATCTTGCAGAGGCTGAGATTTGTGTTCTGAACTTAACTGGCTGGGCTAGGCAGGGAGCAGGACCAATCAGGACTCTAGGCTGTTCGCACGTGTTTTACGCGTCATTGGTCCGATCGATAAACCACTGCTCCCTAATTATTGGTCACAAGATATAACAATGTGTCAAGAATTGGTATCAATTAGGGAAGTATTAAAGTCTGTTAGAGTAGGCTTAAATACGACATTTCTAACTGTGGTGCGTGCTACTTATATTGATATAAGTAGTATATGACGCGAGTCAGGAATGTAATGTCTGACAGCAGAAGATGGGGAAGATCAAGAAAGGAGGAGCGGGAATAAAAAGCAATAAGTATGGAAATGCAAGAACAGCGAAGTTCGAGACAATTATTGAACATTTTGCAAATTAAGAATTATAGTATGGTTTTTCTATCTTACCAAGTAACTCTGTAATTTTGTTCCAATTATAATTCGGTTGTCTTCACCTGAGTTCTTCACTACATAACCGCTTCTTAGTCTCTAGAAATGGTCTACTCTTCAATTATGAAACATAAAATATATGTGGCGAAAATGATGAGACAAGACTTAATTAACGGTCTATATATAAAAGAAAAGTATAGATATAAGATTATATGTGATTTTCAGATTGTAAATGCTTCTATGAAATTCTTATTTATTTATTTGAACACATAAATATTGATAATAATGGGCACCAAATACATATGCGCCATACAAGTCACTTGATTTGTTTTGTGGGCTGTGAGTCTGCCCGAGTGTCCAGACCACAGCAGGTGGTTTTCATCTGGAGCCACACCTCGAGCCTTTGACCTAAAGGTCTAATCCACAAGACAGTGAAGCAACGTCAGGTGATGTAGTCACATGTTAACCGGTGACCAACAATTGGTTCATACGCTGTTTGTTCCCGCAGGATCCTGGAGTCCATATGCACCATTAGTTTTGAATCAGGTTTTTCTAACTCCTCTAGGTGGACTCTCTGTGTCTATTAACCCAGTTAAAGCGCCGGACATTCGCTTTTTGTCCTCTCAATTTCGTAAACAATAGTAATGCCATGAGAAACATATGCTATTGTTGCATTCAACAGCTCAACCCTGAACTGCTGAATTACTAAAACTTCTGCAAACGTACACGTTTTTCGATTCATGATCTTTTTAACCCCGCTTGTTTATTTAATATGGATTATTTTTTACTGTTTTTTTCCAAACGTACTACTTTTATTTCATAAACACATACTACTTTTAATAAAAATAATGAAAGAACCAACAGACTGTGGAAAAGAACAAACCAGGTCCCATTGGAAGAAATTAAGAAGAAGTGGTCGAAGTGGATAGGACACACATTGAGGAAAGCACCCAATTGTGTCACAAGACAAGCCCTCACATGGAATCCTCAAGGCCAAAAGAAAAGAAGAAGACCAAAGAACACATTAAGCCGGGAAACGGAGATAGACATGAGAAAAATGAACAAGAATTGGGTGGAATTAGAAAAGAAGGCCCAGGACAGAGTGGGTTGGAGAATGCTGGTCGGCGGCCTATGCTCCATTAGAAATAACAGGCGTAAGTAAGTAAGTAAGAAAGAACCAAAATCTATGTATCCCTTTTCTATTTCTTCATCAACTAAATTGATAAAAGACAGAACAAGTAAACTGTAAGTAAAAAACATATTTTTACTACCAAATGTCCTTGCACCTATAATGACACCAACCATGACGACGACAACAACAACAACAGCAACAACTCAAAAAGAAACTAATGATTTCCTTTTGTCTTTAATTAAAATCACTTTTCAAAATGAAATTCTCAATGAATCCTTAATAACTAGGTAAATATATTAATCATAATAATTCCAAACTGTCATTTTAACAAATGTGTTACAGGCAATCATGACGACAGAAATAAGTGGATAGATAAATGCTAACGTGTACACACGCACATACATACACAATTGAGTAATTGTTTATATAAACACACACACACATAAACACGGGTATGTAGGTGAGTGTGTATGTGTGTTTTGTACACAAACAAAGGTACTGACAATGCATGAAATATAGCTCGATGATTTTTTTCTTTACATTCGAAGGTATTTTTCTAATTTCTGTTTTGTTCCTTCCTGTTAGTGTTTATTTAACCTAGATTCTTATCATTTCTTGCAAAGTTGATCTTAATCTTAACTTTTTTAAAATAGTAGGGCACATATGTTCAAGAAAAATGATTGACAATAACCGTTTTGACTCAAGAAAATGAATTTTGAGTACAATATAGAATTCTTCATACTAATTGTGTAATATTACTGATATGTCTTCTAATTGAACGCTAGATTTGGTTATTAAGCTCTTCTAATAACCCTGGGCTAGATCTACACAACAACTTGAACACTAAAGTAAATGCCCGAAATATGGAAGATACACTTTACTCCAAAGGTTCGTTTTTGTACGGTTTTTATAATATTTTAAATGGCCTTAGGTTCCTGGAAAATTCTGAAACACTACTAAACACAGTAGTAGTATAGGTAATCATCCAATCAGAAACTGGACATGTGACTTCACTTTCTAGATGTTTCTGGTAAAATTCCTAGTGAATGCTGATTGGATAAGATGCTTCTCAGAGTTATCAGAGCATTTGTTGACTTTTTCGAGGGGTTTTCTGGATCTCTCCAACAATTACAACAAATAACTCTTTAACCCATTTAAATTATAATTATTCAAAAGAAATTATAAAAAAGACTGTATGAAATACGATTCGTAACTGTGGGTTTATAGTTCATCTGTTCCTCAATGTTCAATCCACGTGTAATTTCTAGTATTTATC